TTGCCCCTGTAATAAATAAATACTAATGCAAAGGAAAACAGGATTTTACGTAATTGCAGCCACCAAAAGAGAAAAGAAAAGGATTAGGCCGAATATGCGTGGGCCCTGAGTGGTTTACATTTCCCTTTCTTCGGCCGTCATTCGATGGGTTACTTTCACTTGGCCTCTTTTTGAACAATTTTAAAAAGCCTACAGAAGGGGCAATAGGTCTAATTTTATTTGTTTCCCAGAAATAATTTTTTAATCATCTTCTTTTGTTATTCCCACCATTCCATGATATACTTTTTATTTTTTTAATTAAAATTTTAAAATAATTTATGTTTTTTATATTATTTTTGAAATAAATAAAGGTAAACAATTTAATGATATGAGAATAATTAAAAATAAAAATAAAATGAAAAATTATTTTTTAAAAAAATATATAAAAAATAATAAATTTTTTGAACAATGTTACAATTTTTGAGGATGAAAGGAATCAAATCCCAACCCTCGAACTGAGAAATGTACTTTATAAATCGACTTATAATCGTTAAGCCATGAGACTCAGGTCATATAAAAAAAATAATTAATTTAAGATAAACTTTAAATTAAAAGATGAGTATTATTATGGGATTCAAGGAATAAAACCAATAAAGTAAGAGGAAAAGAAGTGCGTTTTTTAATATTTTTTAATATTTGGGCAAAGTTGTTGGACGATACACACGATTATAGCTGCCAAGACATTGTCAAGGCTGTTAATATTTTACTTGTTATTTTGTTAAATTTATTCTTCTTGCCCACTCAATTCAATGAAATATAAATTTTTTTATTGGTTATTCGACATTTAGTAATTATATTAAATTTTTAATTAATTAAAAATTAAACAACATCAAACCCTTATTATTAAATAAATTCTTTTCATATTTATTTTTTCATTCATAATATTTAAACTCAAATTTAAAATATTATTTAAAAAAATCAAATTCCTTCCCCCTCATTTAACAAATTATTATTTCATATTAACAAATTATTAGTATGAAATACAAATCTCTTCAACTTTATCCTCATCACTTTTGTCCTTTCTTATATCCTTTTCCAGCACGCTAGTCAACTTTCCCCTTTAATCATCTCTATCCTCAAAATGAGAGATTCACAAAGACCATTGCCCACCCTAGCTCTCTTGTATCCTAGCACCAGCTATCTGGACCGCACGCCTTGCCACCATCATCTCCACCAAGCCAGTCGACAGAGGAAGGAGTTAACCATTCGCCTCACCATCATTAAAACATCAACGCCCACCCAGCTTTCCCCCACGCATCCCCACACCCAATGTCTGCCATCAGTCACCAAGAACCATCACCCCATAGCACCCACCCTTCGTGCATAATTTAAGGCTAAATCAGCACATATGCCACCCCTTTATGCTTGCCTTTCCTAGGCATTGCACCCCTACGTACCATAGTTGTTGATAGATCCAAAAATTGGAGGTAGTGTTTGGGCTTTCGGGGAATCTTACCGTACAACAGGTCTGATGAGTGGAAATTGGTTGCTGCGTCTATTCTTGGGAAGTTTCGGTGATCACCGGCAGGGAAAACTTTCCGGTGCTGATGATCTGCACCAACTTTGTAAGATCCTCCCCTCAGAGCATTTGTATTCTCAACTGACACCTTCAAGGTGTTCTCCATAGATAGGGATGTAAACGGGACCTCATGATTCCGGGGAGTCCCTCCCATTCCCGTGGAAATTTTTGACGAGAAACAGATTTTGTTTTCCATCCTGTTTTCGATGGCATCCCTATTTTTCACCTATTAATATCAAAATACATATATTTTTATATATAATTAATTAATATTTAATTATAATAAATAAAATTTTAAAAATTCAAATACAATTAATTAAAATTCTTTAAATATGAAATTAAATATAAATTATCCAAATATAAATAAAAATTAATTTAATATAAATAACTAAATCAATAAATTTGTTGATGATGGGTTAGGTTAATTTTTATAGGTTGAGTTGAGTAAAATTGTGTTAAATTTAATTTTTATTCAATTGGGTTTGGGTTTGAATATTGAATTAAATTGAAAATAAAATTAATTTGCATATTTTTTTAATTTTTGCGGGGATGGGATCCCTACAAAGCGAAATTTCACAAGGGAAAATATTCTCATCCTCGTCCCACGGGGAGGAATATTCCTCTTCACCCCATTTTAGTGGCGGGGATCCCCGTGGGGCTCCACGGGGATCGAGGCACATTACCACCCTTCTCCATAGACATCATCTTGAGGTCACTATTTGCTATGTTCGCATCGTGTTTCTTCTGAAATTTAGCAAACTCTCGCCTCAACTCTTGAGTAGCCATCACCACAAGTCCAAGCAATCACTACTCTGATAC